TTATTCCCACTAGACAATGAATTGACACATCCATGCCATGCCTCAGTCAACAAGCAAAGTCCCTCATACATAGCTGACAAATCAACCGTTGCAGGCACGAGATTCTCTTGGGAATCAAGCCTTATAACGACCGTTACAAGAGTGCAATGTAATTTGAAGGCAGGTGTAACGATAATTACACCCTCTTCTCCTCCCACTCTTTAAACTCTGCTAGCCGTTGCATCTTCATTTGATTTTCAATTCAAATTTTTTTCAAACTCCCTATCCGTTCTATTTTTATTCCACACAAATAAATACCCCCTAAATACCATTCGATACCCCTATTAACTTTCTCTTCACCATTAAAACCTTGCTTCTATATAAACTCTTGAAGAGAATTTTACTATCACACCAACTTTCTTCAACATCTCTTCTACCTTATAAACTTTATCATTTCCAACACCTTTTCCAAATGGCTAGAAGAGCTCAAGAAGAAAGAGAAGAGCCAGACCTCACTGATATGGTATTCAGAAATGGAGCCGACGGACATCGACAAGAGCAACTTTACCAAATGTTTCATCAGAGTGGTATACTTCCAACAGGGTATATCGATGAAGATTGCTTACGTGACTTAGGATTGCTTGAAAGTGTGCAATTTATGCTCCATGAATCTGGTCTACGCTACATTGCCACCATGAATCTTCCAACTTATGAATCTCTCACATTGGAATTCTTGAGCTCTTTTTCCTACCAAACACCATTCACTCCAGAAGCCGGTCAGTATCTAATCGACCCAGCAACTTTCAGATTATTCAACACGGAGTACACCATGAAACAAGATACTTTGAGTCAGATACTCCACTGCAACCATGGTGAAGGTGTGGAATATAGAATTCCGCCAGAAGAAGATTGGAAGGCAAGATCGTTTGAAATTTGAGAATGTTTAACTAATACTCATGTCAACGACTGGGCTGAGCTTTTATCCACTCACATACACAACCCATGCATCCGCTATTTCCACCATGTTCTAGCCAATACAGTGTTCGGGCGAGCGAACAACAATAAAGTGAACGCTAGGGAAATGTATTTTCAGCACTGCACCCTTGATCCCAATCTTAGAATAAATGATGTTCCATTCCTTCTCAACCACATCCAGTCTCTGTTATCAAGGAGCGCAAGCACGTCACCTTTCTATATAGGAGGTTTAGTCACCGCTATTGGCAACTATCTGAATTTGAAAAACAGGTTGGTTCAACTATCTTTTTGGCAAGCTTAGTTTCTTGATATTGAATATTCCCAGTTTGGTCATATTGTCAAAGCAAGAAGGGATGGAAGGTACAACCTGATGGTGCAGCACAAGGTCGTCCCAAGTATTATCCTGCCGAATCTGGATGTAACAAGAATTGACATCGCCGCAAATTGGATTTATGATTTGTAGGCACCTGCCCCCGGTGCACACATGCAGGATAATCAAGCAGGTGTAGAAAATGCAGTACCAGAAGTGAATCTACAAGGGCCACAACAAGAATAAGAAGGAAATGATCCTCAGTCGGCCACCATCCAAGCTATAAATGCATCGCTTTTACTACAAGATCAACATCAACAAGAACTGATGCAGATGATGTAAGAGCTGCAGTGCGATCAACGCGATAACGCTTACTAGAACCATCGCGACATTTCTAACTTGATTGATGAAATGCAGCACTTGTCATTCTGTGTTGAAGGCATGCATAATTATGTTTACAACACTGGCGAGGAACCTCTTAGACCCAGAAGAGGTGGAGTAAGGACACGAGGAGGAAGAGCACAAGGTGAAGCATCCAGCAGCAGAAACATCAGAGACGACAATGAGGAGTGATTTATGTTTTCTCCATTCCTTGCATTTTATTATTTCTTAAGTTTCCTGTTCGTTTTCTTTTCTCACTTTATTTGTCGTATTGAGGACAATTCTCAGTTCAAGTGTAGGGGAGGAAACCTATAGTACCTATGTTATGTTTTCTATTTTCCTAGTAAGTTATTCGAATTTCTGTTATTTCCCTTTCCATTCAATAAAAAATCATTTTCGTAAGTTATTCGTACTTCAAAACTTTTCTTGAACCATAAAAGTTTTTTTTACTTGACACATTAGCTCGGTACATTCGAAAAGTATATAGATTGTTCACAATTAGGTTGCGTTAGATTTTTTGAAAAAGAGTCGACAAAAATAATACCGCCTTGACACCTAAATCTTCCAGATTATGCAAATCAGTTTGAGTGGTTATGATACCGAAGCCTTAAATTTTAGTTTTGGATCAACCCCGAGTAGTTTATACTTGTAGTCAGCACCGTCTTATCCACAAACTACATAGAGAGCCGATGAATATAAGTGACTGGTCCTAATCAGAAAAAAAGAAAAAAAAATGATAAGCATCAAGATATAATAGAGAATGCGCTAATTAAGTTAGGTGAACCTCACCAGGTCATTTAATCCAACAGTTGTAGTACCTACAAAAACTGATGTAACGACTAGTTCTAAGCATGTTCAGTGGTTACCAGGTGCTGAACTTTGTAGGAAGAACTACAGTTCGATCCCCCGAGACTTATAATCTGGGAAAGAAAAATGGTTACCAACTTGTGTACCAGAAACCCGTGTAAAAGAGACCAGAATCGCTAAGCGGCTACTCTACTATGTGCGTGCGAAAGATAAAGGGCTTAATGTGATTGCGCTAGAATGAAAGCGGTTGATTTCAAACGAAAAGAATTAGGTTGAGCTATGATAGCATAATTCAGACTAGTTTGCATAGGATGAAGGATTTTGACCATGTCCTATGATTTTGTGTCATTTCTATATCATTAGTGCCAGAACCTAGTTCCATCTTTCTAATGTAACGCCCCTCAACCACGTACGATTCGAGTTATATCATGCGAGTGTGTCGGAAACCGTGCGTTAAACGTTTCTTTTGCTCTATTATTTGCTTGAGGACAAGCAAAGGTTCAAGTGTAGGGGAGTTTGATAAACCGGAAATGTATTGAATATTTGAATTAATTTACATGAATTTTATCCGTATTTTAATTAATTAAATTACTCTTTATTCGTATTATACTGGTATTTTCTATGTTTTCAAGAATTTGATGTTTGCAAGGCATGCGCGAAGAAAGTCAAGAAAAGTCGAACTAATCGTATTTAAAATCCGCACGAAGAAAGAGAAATTATACAATTGAGGGGTGTGTGGAAAAACTGGGTGCATTACAAGTAAAAAACATTGGAAGACCAAAAGAAGAAATACACGTTGGACCCAATCCACCCAAGGTCCAAGAGGTGTAACGACCGATACACATCACCTAACTCTAGTGTAACGACCGTTACACCTTGCCAAGCCATCCTCTCCTCAAAAGTAGGGGGTGTAACAACCGTTACACCTTGCAGCCTAGTCCCTCCTCAAAAGAAGGAGTGTAACGACTGTTACACTGAGTGTTTCAATCCGTAGCGGTCGCTACAGAGGCAAATCCGGAGGAGAAAATATCTCAAGTCCCTGCGCTTCTCCAAGCCTATAAATAGGACCTCAAATTCCCATTTTGAAACGCGTTTTTCTTTTCTCTGTTTTTATTGTTACTCTGCCGAATATTTTCCGTATTATTTCTTTCCGCATTATTTTCTTTACCGATCTGTGGGAGACATCTGATATCAGCCAAATATTCTGTCATAATATTTTCAGGTTTAATTTAAGTACTTTATTTATTTATGTTAGGATTGTCTGAAATGTTTAGTTTATTTAAATTGTTAGATGGTAATTATTTATGTTGCACTATTATTGAATTGTTTAATATGCTAGGCTAAATTTATTTATCAGTATGTAAGATCATATAGCCAACGGGGTTTAGCAACGCCAATTGATTAGTTCCTTTTAAAAAAGAATAATTTTCTGGTTTCAATTACTAGTTCTAAATATTAATTATTTTATTACAAGAGTAAAATACAAATAGAAGTTAGGATCAATAAAACGAGAGTTTGAGATAATAACTGGACAGTGGTAATTGTTCATCAACTTAAAATACAGCGAGAGCGCTTTTAAGTTGATTAGGTTTTGTTTGTTTCCAAAAATTATTTTTAAACTCTAATTGAAACAGCGAGAGCACTCACTTAGGTTTGATCGTAGGATCTGAATCAATAAACACGAGAGTGTGAGAAGAGGATTTTCAAACAAACACTTCCTACTGAAAACTGTTTTGTTAATCCGAGTTAGGTCAATGAGTTGCTAAATTCCCGAAGTCCGACCAAACTAGATTATAATCAGTTAGGTTCCTTAAACCCCTTATTAATTACATTATTAGCCTTAGATTTATGAAGTAACTTAAGATAACGGTAGGTCGACATTTAGTCCCTTGAGATTCGATAATCTTTAAAGCTACACGCGATAGGACTGTATACTTGCGGTCTAGATTCTTTAAGACTCACAAAGTCGCGATCATCGAACTAGATAGTCATTGATTGAACAACATAATTGACTAAGTGATTTAAATTTATGTGAGAATCTCTCTAATCACTAGGTGCTGTGGTGTTCAATATGGAATCTCAATCCCCCACATTCTATTTCCAGATTTTCCACCATAGATCCTAGAAGGTGAAGGTCTCTCCCAAACAGGGAAAAAGAATGACACATTCTTTCAAGTACAGAGAGAATAATCCAAACCATGATAGTGTTGATGATGATAAATTTGACAAACAATTTCAAAGCAAATGATGCTATGAAAACAAATTCAACACAAACTAAACTGTAAATAAATTAATCTTCAACAAAGTATAAATAAACTATCAACAAACAGTTGAAGCCAAAGATATGATATGAAAGACCATAAATAAAGACAGTAGTAGCTGAAGCCCTTGTTAGCTGTTTTAACCTACCTTGGACCTTCATCACACTGCATTCTTTTGATTATATTTACAAAATAGACAAGGAAACTTAAACACTAAATGCTATGCATGATCATTAATTAGTCGATATAAAACGGTTTAAAGAATTGGTGATTAGAGGCACAAATAGTTAGCCGAGATCAATGTCAACCCGTTCCGGATTTACCCTTTCTGTCTGGTTCGCAACAAGTTCGATTCCTAGCTGTCCTTTGTCTCCAGCCCCAAATCCATAAAGCTTCCCTGATTCAGTTAGAGCAAAGGTATGAGCATTCCAGTATATGGAGTTTGTCAGACTAATCTGTACCACCCTTTCATTGATCTGCTTCAGCGATGTCACAAGCTCCGGAGTTAACACGTTTGCATGCCTATTGCCCTGTAATCATAACATTAACAAAAAAATGTTATGATTTTTGTTAGTGTAGAGAACAATGTGCCCTTCATAGATGTTAATGGAAAAAATGAATAAACAAAGCGGACCTGTGCATCGTTTACTGCATTATGACCGAGACTAGCAGATTCTCCACAACCGAATGAATAAACATCACCATCTTCGGACACCACAAAGGTTGTGTAATCTCCTGTTGCAACATGAACAGCTTTGATGTTGGTCAATGCATCTATTACCTTAGGTGCTGCTTCACATTCTTCATTCCCGTGTCCCAGACAACCGTATCGTCCCCATCCCCATGTGCAGACACGGCCATCCTGTCCCACCACTGCAGCATGCCATGCACCGGCTGCAACCACCTTTGGTTGAATGTTTAGCGTCTGGAACTGTTCGATCAAACGAGGAAACTTCTCATCAGTTCTAGTTCCGTGTCCTAACTTGCCTCCTAAGCCACACCCAACTGAGTACACTGACCTATATGTTTTCAAAGAATCACAACAGCAAAACATTCAAATAAGCAATACAACAAGAATGAAGTTACATGTATAAACAGAAACTAGTTAACAAAAGAAAAAGAATTAGATTAACATATGTGATTGGAACTCACATTCCACTAGGTTGACAAGCCAAACAAAGAAGGTAGCAATATCCAGCAGCAATTTGCACTACCGGTATGTCTTCTAAAGCTCCTAATAAAGGATGAGGTTCCATATCATTTGGATCAGTGTGGTGGCCGAGTTTTCCATCATTACCCCAAGAAAATGTATAAACCCTGCCTTCTCTTGACAATACAGCTGTGAAAAAGTTACCAATTGCAGCTTGGACAACAAATATGTTTTTCAAAGACTCCACCAACTGGGGAGTTGTAACAGTTTTAGATCCTTGACCTCCGTATTCAGCTTCCCCAAAAGAATCTTTTCCAAATGCATAGACTTGTCCGGAATCAGTGATCAACATTGTCCTCCCAGCACCGGCAGCAGCTTGTATAATTCGAATGCCTTGCAAAGTTCTGAAACATAATGAAGTTCCATTAACTTTTAATCAACTAGTACTAGTTCACTTCAAGTTAACCTTAAGTGTACACATTTACAACCTTATTGGCCGTGGTCGCCATTCTTCATCGGTGGTTCCGTGCCCGAGTTGTCCTGAACTGTTGGATCCAAATGAATAAACATCCCCTTTAGATGTCACAGCAATGCTGTGACCAGGACCTGCTATTGCCTGTGATTTCTCCCTCCTGCAACATGCTTCTCCAGCCAATAAATACCTCAGAACCAACTTCCAAGAGCCTCCGCATCTTTGCTTCAAATCTTGCCTTTCTTCTGTTGTCATTGGCTTAAAGATGGCTCTCTTCTGGCACATGTCAAATGCAGCAAGCTCGGATAAAGACAGTGCTAAATCCGGAGCAAAGTTTGCTGCCTGCCTGAAGAAGGAGCATGTTGCCTGCAACATACACATAAAAAACAAAGGCATTAGCATTATTTGCATTCAAATCAAGAACAACAAATTCATAGATGACATGAAGATAAGTATAGCACTTGCCTCTAGTTTAGCAAGGTCTTGAGGATCCAAATTACACGCCGTAAGAACATGGAGGACAATAGAGGGATTCGCAGACAAAGGAAACTCTCCGGGAGTAGAGTTTCCAAAGCAATGTCGTTGTTGCCTTTGAAAATTCGGAAGTGGTGTGGCAACAACAATGGCAGTAATTGTCTGGTCAGTGATGTTATGGTATTGAATAGTCGGGGTTCCGCTGGTTGTGGCATCCATTGGGCACTGCAAAAACTTTACGCAGTGCCCCAAACTTTGCAGAAGAAAATATCTAAGTTACCAAAACATGTACAAATTTATCATTACCACATTCAATTAATCGACTCCTTCTTTTCGCTAATTATAGTATGCGAGACTTTGCAATTTTCATATCATTTTACCACTAACTTGCAAAAAGAATGTACCTCAAAAATATAATAGACTAGCAAATCTCACGTCTCAAACCTACAAAGAAAAACATACTTAACATAAACTCATGATTATGTGACACAAAAAAGGAAAAAAAAAAACTATATGATCAAAAAAGTCTAGGTTGAAGTTGATTATAACATTATTAATCATGAACTACAAACACAAAAAGACATGCATTAAGATTTTCGACATCCGAAATCATGAACCTCCCATAAAAGAGGATGACCAGAACAAAAAAAACCACTTTATAAATACCAAATTATACCAAATTAAGAAACAAAATCAACACCGATCCTTTCATAAAACGTTTGTTTGGATACTAGATAATGACCCAGATGAATAAAAATCATGAAAAACCCGAAAAAAGTAAAGGGTACTTGAAGGTGAATGAAAAGACGAAAACTTTGAGGAGAAGTATAGTATTCATTCATTCTCCTAAGATGAGGGATATTCCCCAAAAAAGAAAGGAATTTCTTCAATTTTATGATCAGTTAAAATCTTCAATCACGTGAAGTCATCGTGATTAATCAAAGTGAGATCATCACAATCAAAATCAAAATCAAAACGAAAAATCAAACCAGAAAAACCAATATCCATGGATGATCACCAAGAAACAGGGGATTGTAATAGGAACCACAATAAAGCTAGGTTGAAATTGAAAACAGTAATTTTTTTGTGTGACTTTTTCAGATCAGAGAATTATTAGGGTAATCCAATTCAACAAGTACACTTGCGGAATACGCAACCAAAAGTGCCAAAAAGAAGAAGGAAAAAAAAGAATAAAAACAGAGAATTTATGAAAAACAGAACAGAATCGCATGATGAAAAAGTTTACGATGAGTGGCATTACGATCGATCGTTCTTCGTGGATCGAGTTATAGAAAACGATTGAAAGAGTGATTACATATGAGAAATAGGAAGGAATTGTGAAACTCAATCTGCATCTGTTGAAGAGAAGAGAATCGGATGAGATTTTTGTGAAGTTTTGTGGGTCAAAGAAACAAGGACAGAGATGGGTTTTTGATCGATTAACATTGGACTGTGTGTGATGTGGTGTTTGGAATATGACGAGGAGGAGGTTGAGAGATTGAAGGAGAAAAAAAATGAGTTTTTTGTTTTGAGAGTGAATGAATGAGATAGAATAGAATGAATAATTTTAGCTTTTATCTATCCTCTTTTATTTTCTTTTATTTTTTATATTATTAATGTTAGGTTTGTGATTTATTATGAGGTCTTGTTGAGGGTGATTTGTCACTTTGCCAACAAAGTTGAAATTACTATGCTTTATTACTCGCTTACAAGTGTGAAAGCACAAATATTTTGTTTAATAAAAGTATAATTAATAATTTTTTTTTCTAAAATTTAAATTTACTGAATTTGAAATGATTATCTATTTTATAATGTTTGGGAGTCCGGATAAGAGGTAGTTTTATTATTTTTAAAAATAAAATAGTACACTTTTTAAACATATTTATAAGTAATAATTTTTTTTAGATTTATTACATAATGGATGTATTTGATGTATAATAATGATTAGATATATCATTTATTCAATGAATTTAAAAAAATTTCTTTTATAAATGTGTCTTGGATGGTATATATGTTAAGTATATGGTTCAAAGGTAAGGTGGTGTTGCATAATGTACCATTTCTATTTTATAATTAGATTAATAACGCTTTTCACATATCATTATATCAAACCTAATTCATTTAGACTTGGGAAGTTGTGATACACCGACAAAGGATTAGATGATTAATTAGTATGATATGTATTGTATCTGGTTGGATATGACGATTTCATTTGTGAAGATTGCTTATGAAGATTGATTAGGTGACGTTTTCGTTTGTGACGATTATTTATGAGGATTGATTAGGTGACGATTTTGTTTGTGAAGATTGTTTATGAAGATTGATTAGGTGACGATTTCGTTTGTGAAGATTGTTTATGAAGATTGATTAGGTGACGATTTTGTTTGTGAAGATTGATTAGATGACGACTTTGTATGATGATCTCTTTGTATACAATATTTATTATGGATGTTGAAATTTTCATTCCTCATTCAAAATTGATGTTTTAACCCTTGTTTAGAGTTAACTCTCGATGCAGCAACATAGAGTTGATAATGTGTGAAAACTTGTTATGGAAGGTATAATCCTACCTTGGATAAAGTCTGGCCTTAATTTTTATAAATTGTCATTGCAAAGCATAGAGACAGATGGATCTTTCTCCATTTAAACTTAAAAGGAAATCTAGAATCTGAAGGTACTAAATTCATTCTTGGAATAAGAATTTTTTTAAACCAATAAAGACTTTGATTAATTCAAAAACGATATTAACAAGGAGGTCGTTATGATCCAGCCCACAAAATAACAAGGGAAAAAAACCCAACAAAACACAATTAATAGTTAGTTAAGCATCAACCTAACTAAGTGAGACCTAAGTTTCGTATTGATCCAACCCCTACAAGCTATCGTATCAATGATTCTATCTGCTATATTGGTACTATTTACATCTTTACCATAACTTTTATCATTCATGTAGCGCCACACTTCATAGATAGTTTATGTTACCGCCAACTTTAGCATGGCAACTCTATTCTCTTTTGCTTTTCTATGATGAGTTGTCCAACTAATCTCCCGTCTCCATCCAGTAAGATAATGTTGCACTTGAGACCAAGCAAGAATCTTCTCCCATATGTTCTTTATTTCCAAACATTAAAAAAGAAGGTGATGATGAGTTTCCTCTTCATTACAAAAACAACAATTCATATGTCAATCATGCCATATTTATAAAGTCTATCGTTCATTGTTAATCTCTCATGACACACAAGCCAAAGAGTAACCAATGCACTTGGCTGAGCCATATTCCCAAAAAAATAACATTCTCTAACTAATTGTTTGGGTGTCAACATGTAAAGCTTTATACACACTTCTCATGCTGAAATTTTGAGTCTACTGCAAATCATTCCAAATCTGTAAATGATGGATACTATTCCTATGATTCAGGATGGCTTTTATGATCCAAGAGGTATTGTTTCTAACTCTAACTTCCATCAACTGATGCTTCTTCGAATAGTACATATGGACCCAATTTACCAAAAACTATCAAACTTTCCGCTTAAATTCCATAAAAGCTTCACCAAATTAGCTTTATTTCACACTTGTAGATCAATCATATTCAACGCACCCTGACTTCTAGGACTACACACTTTTTTCCATGCAATAAGGGATTTTCCGCTCAACTCAGTACCCCTTGTCCAAAAGAATGTCCTACAAATTGCATTAATATTATGGATCACATATTTGGGGAAAAGGAAACATTGCATCCAATAGTTCATAATAGCAAAAGTTACACTTTTCAGAAGCTGGATTCTCCCAGCATAACTCAATAGTCTAGCATTCCAATGCTTGATTTTCCCTATAATTCTATCAATCAGAGTCATGTAGTGATGAATAGAGAGCTTCTTACTTATCATAAGCACACCTAAGTATTTTAAGGGTAGGGTTCATTCTCTAAAAGAAGTAATATGCATAATGTTTTCTCTTGAGTTTTGATCTACATCACCAAAGTAGATACGATATTTTGCAGGTTTAACTTTGTGGCCAGTAGAAAGGGAGAAGTTCCTGAAGGCATTCATCATAATCTCCACTGGCATATTGTCCCCTCTAGAAAACATCAAAAGATCATCAGCAAAGCATATGTTGGTTAGACCCAGCTTCTCACACTTGGCATGAAAGTTGAAGTTATTGTTTATTTGCATTTTCTGAAAAGTTTTGTTCAAGTACTCCATCATAATGACAAAGAGAATAGGGGAAATGTGACCTCCCATTCTCAATCCTCTTTTAGCTTGCATAATGTCAAAGTAGTATCCATTGATATTGAACTTATAAGACACATAAGTAACAACAATTGTAATCCATATAGTAAACTGCACGGGGAATCATATCTCATTTAAATTAGACTTCATGACTTTCTGACTGACTGTATCATAAGACTTTTGGATGTCCAACTACATCATACGCCTAGGTGTGCCATCCTTCCAGGAGTAACCTGTAATGAGCTCATAAGCCAGAAGAATGTGATTATGAATAACTTGGCCTGGGACAAAAGCAACTTGGTTCTTTCTAACAATTCTATCCATCACCTTACTCATTCTAGAAGTTAGGATTTTGGATATGATCTTATAGATGATGCTACAACAAGAAATAAGCATATACGCCTTAATTATGTTGGCCTTAATACTCTTAGGAATAAGAATAACCAAAGTGAAATTAAAAGCATTATAAATTACGCCTTTGTCCAAGTAATCCTTGGCTTCTTTAAGGATATATTCCTTCAAATATTCTAGGATTTAAAAAAAAAAGTAAGCTTCATACCCATCCAACCCTAGGGATTTCAAAGCTCCAATTCCTTTAAGAGCCTTAACTATCTTCTGTTTAGAAACTGGGGCAATCAACATCTCCCTCTAATCATTACCTAACTATGGGCCACTTCTCATGGAAGTGACTTCAATTCCATTAAACTCCCTATCATCCTTACCCATCAGATTATTATAGAAGTCCAATACCTCCCTTTGAATCTCATCTTGAGCAGCCAAAATTTAACCATCATCCTTCTGTAGAATATTCATACTCTTATACTTATTTCTAGATTTTATAGAAGCATGGAAATATTTCTTATTCCCATCTCTCAGCTTAAGCCAATCCATCTTAGCCTTTTGCTTCAACACCTTTTCCTCCAGATCTTTCCATTTTATTAACTCTTCAGTGTACTTCTTAACCATATATATCTTGCTTACATTCATTCTATCATTACTTAGCTCCATCTAAGAATTTTGATGGTCACTCCTGGATTTAAAATATTCTACTTCACATTATTAATGGGCTTACTCATTTTCATCAAAATGGGTTGTAATCTCTGCAACATCTTCCACAAGACATACATAGGCCTCCCAATAATAAAATCTTCCCAACTTCAACCTACAACATTCATAAAACCCTCGGTATCAGCTACACTATTTATAAACTTGAAGTCAATTCATTTTATACTAGTGCTATCATGCCTATTCAAACAGATCAAGGCATGATCTGAAACAATAAGGTGCATAACAGTGAGATTGTAATCATTGGGATTCTGCAACCAGTCTAAGTTACCAATTACTCTATCTATCCTAGAATAGATATTACACTCACTTTGTTTGTTATTTCTCATTGTTGTCCATCTCATACAATCCAGTACTTTCCATCATTTTACTCAAGTCAATGTATTCATTTTCTTTCACCATATTCCCCCCAATACTGTCTTGAGTTTTCAACATATTTTGAAGTCTCCCATTAAGAACCAAGGACCCTGTCGATGACAATTAAGCTCTTCAATGTCTTTCCGTAACTTTTTCTTTTGCTCTAATTAATTTAAAGCATATATAGAAGTCACTCAGTACCTCAATTTACCATCTAACTCATAGATTCCACAATGTATCAATTGGTTAGTGTTTCTAACCAGTTTGATGTTCACATTGATGTCCTTCCAAAACACCCAAATCCTACCATTATCGTGCTTATTATAGTTATCCAAGTAGTTTCCTCTCAAGTTAAGCTTATCTCTAATAGCCCCAACCTTATTGCTTTTCACTCTAGTTTCAATGAGAATATCAATATTGTTAGAAGACGACAACAATATCTAGATGGGATGAATAGATACCCCTTTAAAAAATTATCCAAATAAAATTTTCTTTTGAAAAAGTTTTATCAAAGTGCAACACGAAAGCTTTTTCAAATTGTCGTCTATACAAACGTTATCGGGAAGCTCAAATATGCAAACCGTAAATCAAAATTGATATGAAATGATAATGATAACATGCATTAATAACCTTGAATCACTTTGAAACTTATTTACAGTTTAATTAATGTCACTTAGCAAGTCTATTTCCAATGGTAATATTAAAAGAACTAGTTAAGTCAATTTAATAAAAAACTTGGCGTGCTAGTGAATTTTCATATTTTTTCCTTTGATTGAGTTGATACACAAAACCACTTATAATCAAAAGTGATTATAAGCTATATCAACACTTGAAATAAAAACCAAAATTGATTAGGAAAATTCTTACAATTAAAACGATAATACAATGCTATTTGATAA